CTTAAATGTGCTGTAAAGTTATTTCATGGTTTAAAGATATACATACATACATTCTCACTACTGATAATTATTTAATCGTTTTTATTATAATTGATTTGTAATGATGTTTTAAACTTTTAGCTGTTTACCAGAGAGAGTTGGATGTTTATACGTTCAAGGATACGACCAACCTTTCTCAAAAATAAAAGTAAGTAAAAAGTATATATATATATATATATATATATATATATATATATATATATATATATATATATATATATATATATATATATATATATATATATATATATACACATAAATACACAAATCACTGAAAAGATTTTTTAGACCTAGAAGTACACAAGTATGTAAATAGAAGTACACAAGTGTGTAAATAGAAGTACACAAGTATGTAAATAAAAAAGTAATTGACCAGAAAAAGTAAAAATATTAACAGTTATATATAACTTCAAATATTTTTTATAAAATATGAATGATGATAATTTAGTTTGTTTTAAAGTAATTTTATAGTATATATATATATATATATATATATATATATATATATATATATATATATATATATATATATATATATATATATATATATATATATATATATATATATATATATATATATATATATATATATATATATATATATATAAACTTGTACTCTAGTAGTTTTTTAATAATTGTACAATAATTATAAAATATTTCTTATACTTTAACTCTGTGAATTGATTTCCACATTTATAATTTTTTTTGTTCATAATAATTATAAGATGATAGAAGGATAATCATTAATAAATAAAAACACTTTGAACCAAGTTTAATACAATTACGCGATAACAAATATTGAGAATAAGTTTTTAATTTTTCAATCATATTATTTAACTTGAATCAATAAAATTGTTCTAATAAATATAAAAACATAACTAAAAAAGTTGTTTAAAAGTTAGCTATCCTTTTAAACAAATCGCTTTATATTCAATTAGTTGAATAAGTTCTTCTTTTAGAAAAATCTTTATACACATTATTAGATACTAAATTCCCTTTCCATTCTAATAAAAATTTCTATTTCTAAATTTTACAGTCTATTTCTATTTTGCAATGCTTACGTCGCTGTGAGATTAGAATCAACTAATTCTTAAGCCAATAATCAAATTAGCATCTAAAATTAAGAAAAAGTTACATATGAGGAAATAACTTTCATAGCAAAGCAATCTTACACAAACATATAATTATAAAGTTTGAAACATAAATTCATTTATAAATCTTTTATTTTATTAGTTAATAATTCTTTTTTTTTTTATTATTATTATATTCAAATGACCTCAAAAAAAAAACCAGATCTTTTCTATAAAATGAATTTTCTCCTTGCTTAGAACTTTCTTACCTTGGCAGCTAAAAGTTTACTATCAGCTTTTCTGTACAGTTTCGTTTTAGAACAAGAACTTCTGCTCCTGATCCCTAACTAGATGCAACAATTTCTTATTTATACTGTTATGCAAACACTATTCTTCCTCTTCATTCAACATTGTTTTATGTTGCAAACACTCTCCTTCCTCTTCACTCAACATTGTTTTATGTTGCAAACACTCTCCTTCCTCTTCGCTCAACATTGTTTTATATTGCAAAAACAAAAACTGTTACGGTAAAAAGTTCATGTATTCTTTGAGATTCTTTGGAAAGCAAGCACAAAACTGAAAATAAAATAAATTTGTAACTTAAATTTGTATTTGTAAAAGGCTCACTCATTTCAGCATCAGGAAGAAGAAAAAAATGTTTTAAAAAAAATTTCAATTCAAAAATACTATGTATGCATAAAAAGCTAAATAAAAATCATCATCAATAAGATGACAGTTTATAGTTGTTTCTTAAGACTGTTTTGAAATTAATAAATGTATTTCTGAAGTAGTTATTACACTTCATGGATACAAATAGTATATGTACTAATCTTAAGTAAAATCCTTGCTGGATTTAATAACAATAACATTAAGAATAATATAATAGTAATCAATACCTGCATTGATTACCCACAAATACATAATAATACTATTATAACAATGATTACCTACAAATAAATTACTGTGGTAAACTTATGGCTCAACCTTAATTTTGTAAAGGGTTTGAAGAAGAGCCCTATCATGAGACCCTTTGTTAATTTTTTTCAGGATCCTCACACTATCTGCAATCAATTTGCAGCCGTGGTGCAGTGGTTAGAGCGCTTGCTTTATAAGCAGGATATCCAGGTTCGAAACGAGCTTTAGACATATTTCGCGTCACGGTAAGGAAGGAGGCGTGAACTTACTGTTTAAATGCACTTCCGCGGTGCTCTGTAACAAGATCGTTAGGACTTCTTGGGGCACCTAAATAACAAATTAAAAAAGAAATAATTATAGTCATCTAAAACTTTTTGTTGCACTCTTATAAAATAAATTTTTTGAGAAATATAAATGTCAAGACTTCCTTTAATCCTAGTTCTCTTCAATCAAAGTTTTCTATATCACACAATACGCTCTTTTTAGAATCACTAATAATTTCAAAATATTGATAAAACCACCTTACTCAAGTTACAAAATATGATTGTAACACTGATTGGGGGCACATACCACACTGTCCCCAATCAGTATTACAATTATATTTTGTAACCTGATGCTTCCACAGGTTACAAAATATGATTTTGTAACCTGTGCATCAGATCCAGATAATTGAAACTGACTTCTTCAAAATGAATTTCCCACTTTTATTCCCAGCAAAAAGGAGCTATAGGGGAGAGCGGGGCAACATGGCGAATGGGGTATGGGTTTTCATATAACAAATCAACAAAAAATATTAAATATGGGTGAAAACGAAACTTTTTTTGCATTTTGTACTTTAAAACACCAATTGGTTTTTTGAAATATTATTAACGCAATTTTATACGCATAAGTTTACTTTTTGCGCTTAAAAAATTCCTCAGTTTCGGTTTCTTATAATTGATGGTGTCCTTCAAGTTTAACTTCTTTAGAAGTAGTTTTTTGCGATTTGTGTTTATTTTGTGTTACTTTAGTTAAAGTTATTGGTATTTTTTAAAATTTTATAAATTTAAAGATGAAAATTGCATAATAAGTCATCTTGCCCCGGTCGCATGACCAGATGACAAATTTATGAACTTTTATTTTAATAATTATTTCAAATTACTATATTTGCAAACGAAAAATTCATGTAGGCAATTAATCATTTAAATAGCATAAACATACTCAGAAAATATTATTGCTTCACGACTGATAGTTTTGCAATAACTCAGGGCTTTCAAAACGTTCGCCATGTTGCCCTGCTTTCCCCTACCTCTTTGCTAAAACCAACAATAAAGTTGGTTACGAAGTTGAAGGTTATCAAAAACTTCTTAATATAAGTTGTCAAATTCATCTTCCTAACCATCTTCCTATCCAATGTATAGTTTTAAAACTTTCTTCTTACTTGAAAACAGCATAAAAAATTGACAACGTACTAATAATAAAATACAAATTAGCAAGGTTATATTTATTGAAGAAAAGTTGCACTCCATAAAAGAAGAAATCTGATATCTTATTACCTGAAGAGAAAAAATCTGCGTAACTTTATTATTTATAATTTGTCTCGCCCAAACAGTTTTATTAAAATTCCTTAGCTTAGGACATAACTAATATAATGTTACGTCATCATTTTAAAATTTACGCCAAAAACTGTTGCAAAACATGCTAAGCTTAAAAACATAATGCCCAATTTTAATATGCATAAAATGTTGAAACTTTAATAACTTATGACATCCATTAAAAAAATACATTTTGCATTTGAAAGTGATAAATTTTAACAATATAAGTACATTAAAAATTGACTTTTTCTTCAAAAAACACAAGAATGATGAAATATGATTCAGATAGATTAGACAATCATAGATTTCGAATTTCAACCGTCAAGCATTAAGTTAAGCAAGAGTTGCAGGTTTCCAAGACAATATCTGTTGCAGGTTTCCAAGACAATATCCGTTGCAGGTTTCCTAGACAGAATATCTGTTGCAGGTTTCCAAGACAGAATATCGGTTGCAGGTTTCTAAGACAATATCCGTTGCAGGTTTCCAAGACAGAATATCCGTTACAGGTTTCTAAGAGAGAATATTCGTTGCAGGTTTCCAAGACAGAATATCCGTTGCAGGTTTCTAAGAGAGAATATTCATTGCAGGTTTCCAAGACAGAATATCCGTTACAGGTTTCTAAGAGAGAATATTCATTGCAGGTTTCCAAGACAGAATATCCGTTACAGGTTTCTAAGAGAGAATATTCATTGCAGGTTTCCTAGATTTTTGTTCAAAAGAAAGCCTAATTTTAAAAAAAAAAATTATTTAAAAAAAAATTATTTAAAGGCAAAAGTGTGAATAGAAAAAAATACTGTTATTTTAAAGTTTGTTGATGCAAGTTCTGCAAGTTTTTAATGCAATAGTTTTTTTTTTGTTTTTTTTTCTTTTTATGATAAACTCGTGAAATTATTTTTTTTTTTTTGATAAACTCATGTAATACCCATTTTACATTGCCTAAAACATCCGTATATAGCCTATAAAGCTTCTAGTTTGTTTAGTAACCTGAATTTCTAGAATTAAGTGAACTTTTAAACTGAATTTTTAAGACATCTCTAAAATAAAAAATTAAGTGACTTGTTGGTAAAATGGGTTCAAGTAGGGGTCGCAGCTAACAAAACAAATTGGTTTAACAGTTTTACAAAACTTAATTCACTTCCGGTAAAGAAAAATTGTTTGTTTAAATATGGTGTTGATTTTAATAAAAATCCAGCGAAAAATCAACTAATTTATATATTACGTTCAAATCTTTTATTAACTGTAGAAGAAAATCAACTAATTTATCAATTACGTTCAAATCTTTTATTTACTGTAGAAGCTAATTAAAGGGTGATTTGTTTTTTTTGACCTAAAATGAAAATGTAAATTAATTACATGCGTAGTTATTTTAAAGCATATATTCATCTAAAGCATCATTTCTATAGGTCACATCCGAGTTGAAACATTACGACAAACGTATTATTGAATGTACGTGGGAAAATAACCAGTGGAAGTTTTTGCGTGTTCGTGAAGATAAATCGTTCCCAAATGCATTAAAAACAGCACAAAGTAAGTAGTTTATGTAATATTTTTTATTTTTTTATGTATATATTATATATTTATGTAATATCAAAATATTTTTTTTTTTTAAGGCGTTTGTGCAAGCATCACTCACCCTGTTACCAAGGAGATATTAAATGACTATATAAATAAGTATTTATTTCGTACACACGGGGCTCCACAGTTTCATTCCAAATAATACATTTGAATTCTGCTGAGTAGCATTTTCAGGGCACCAGTGCGTCAGTTATCGTTTGAAATAAGTGGAGTGGTTGGATTTAAGAGAGCTGATTTTTTTTCTTAGCTCTATTTTAATACTAAATAAGCATGAGCAATTTAAATATATTACTTATTTAATCGGCATTCAAAAAATGTTCGTCGTAGAAAAGATAAAGAGGAATATAAACGAAAGAATAATAAAGTATTATCTAAAACGTTTAAAGTGCAATTTTCATTAATACAGTAAAATTCTCTTAAATGCAGTGAAATGTTCATAAATACAGTGAAATATAAATAGAGGTAACTGCAGGAGTAAACAAAGAATTACATTAATTTATTTCTACCAATTGGAAAACTACATGATCCAACTGTTTTATGACGTTTTATTTTAGATGCAGTCTGTAGAAAATACTTTATTTTCCTTTTCTCTGAAATATTTAAAATCTCTGAAATATTCAAATTTAATATTGAATATCACTAGTATAAAAATTAATATTGAAATGTTTGTCATTATTAAGAATTTCTTTAATCAAACATCTATTTAACGCTTTTTATTTGTTGGTTTGGCGGAGACTACTGAGACAACATGACGACTGGCTTAAAACATAGATATTATAACGCAAGACATAATATAATATAAAAATTTTAAAATAATTCTTTGTGCTAGCTTAGCTTCAGTTTATATATAAAATTGCTCCAACAGTAACAAACTTCATTTTGACTACTTATTAGTACAAACAACATAAGCACTATGTCGTTCTAAAACATCATAAGCACTATGTCGTTCTAAAACAACATAAGCACCATGTCGTTCTAAAACAACATAAGCACTATGTCGTTCTAAAATGATTAAATAGAGTCAAAATTTTGTTTGGCACACAACTGAAAGCAGGGTTTTTTTAATTAAAATTTTATGTAAATTTTAATAATTTTTTTTAGGAAAAAAAACTTATATAAAAATTGAATAAAAAAAAGCATATAAGAATTTTTTTCGTTGAAAAAAAAAAATTCATAATGGCTTAAAATACATTGTAAAAGCTGTGTTTTAAGCAAAATCTCAAAACCTGATAACTTGATTTTGCTTTTATAACTGAAACAAAAATTTTGTACAAAAAGTTTCCTAAGCATATTTTATCCTCCTTGACCGTCGGAATTTTTGTTATTCAAATTATTTCAAAAATTATTGTATTTTTAACAAAATCACTTTACATTTATATAAAATATCAATAATTTTAACACTTTAAACTACAATATTTCATATTTATAGCTTTGCATTAAGAGTATGAGGGTCAAATAAAATATTATATTGTAATAGAGAAGTCCTAAAAATTTTAAAATTAGTCAGAGTTCGGTTAATGAGAATAGTGTTTCAAAAAAACATGTTAAAAAAGCATAAATAAGAAGAAGAAGGAAAAAAAAAGAACATAAAAATTATCAAAATCCACCGGGAATGTAACTATTAATTGTGTCTTTTACTTGTGGATTATCCATGAAACTTTTTTTTCACTGCACTCAAAATGTCAACTTCTGGTTTTTTTGATTTTAGTTAATGAATCTAATGTGACAATGAATCAAATGTGACAAATCTATTAAATCCAAAGTAGTTTAAAATTTGTACACCATTATTAGCACCATCAGTGTAGCACTTATATCATTATAATGTAGTACTGCTTAGTTCCTATTTCGATTGTAGACTTAATAACAAATGTGTACTTTGGTACGCGAGACTATATAATTGAATTTGAAGCTTCAATGGCATTTTGTGTTGTACCTTGCAAACATTTAATTAGAAGATCATCAGCTTGAAGATCTTTGATGATTGGTAAAAAAAGATTCTTAATCCAGATATTTTAATATAACTTTATACGAAATGAGGAAAAAGGTTCAACATAAACGACTAACACAACCAGTCAAAAATCACTCCTGTCTTTAAATTAAGTTTTGAAGAATGACTTTTAAAACAGAAAAGTAATGAGTCTGCATATAACACATTAAAGTCAAGTTTGTGAAGGTATTTTCCTGTTTTGAATTCATAAAAACTCAAATGTTTGGTGATTGCATAGGCGTTGTTAGGGAAATTTTTTAAAATTGTTATCTACTAAAATGCTGTTAGATCAAATTTTATATTATTTTAGAGACTAATTTTTTTAATTATATGTTGGAGGAATGATTATAAAATCAAAATACCAAAAAATCCTTTAAAAATTTTCAAAAAACTTTTTTTTTTTTATTGTTGTGTGCCACCTTAAGGGTTTAAGACATCTCCATTTTTTTTTTACTTAGCTTTTTTTTTAATTTTAAAATTATTATATAGAATACATGTAGAGGTGAGTTAAGACAATATTTAATAATTGTTTTTTTTTTACCCACCCTATCCAGCATGTGACCTTAACATTCAAATTATTTTAAAAATAGTTAAAATTGAAAACAAAAAACAAATAATTACAAAAAAACACAACTAAAATTGTTGTCATTAACATGGCAACATCCACATATTTGTTATTAATTTTATAATATATTGCAAAAGAAATCGTTTAAAGAAAAATTTTTGTCTTCCTTGAACACCAGAAGATGGAAAGAAGTCGTTGACTGTTATAGGGGAAAGTGGGGCAACCTGGCAAATGGGGCAAGATGGGTTTTATATAACAACTCAACAAGAAATCTTAAAATTGGGTGAAAACGAAACTTTATTTGCATCTTGTATTTTAAAACATCAATTGGTTTTTTGAAATATTATTAACGCAACTTTACACGCATAAGTTTACTTTTTGCGCTTAAAAAAAAATCCTCAGTTTCGGTTTTATAAAATTTTATAAAATTGGACGCAAAAGTTGCATAATAAGTCATCTTGCCCCGGTCACGTGACCGAAATTTTTGAACATTTTTTTAAATATTTATTTCAAATCGTTATATTTGCAAACTGAAAATTCATGCAGGCAATGAATCATTTTAATAATATAAACATACTGAGAAAGTATTATTGCTTCATGACTAATAGTTTTGCAATAACTCAGGGCTTTTAAACGTTCGCCATGTTGCCCTGTTTTTCCCTATCAAAAAACAATTTACCAGATATAAAAGACACCGTTATTTGTGAAAAGCATTGGCCTGTTGGATACTTTTTGATAAAAAATTATGGCAAAGAAAAACCTTATGATCCTACATCTGTGTTTAAGTGTGTTAAACCAAGTTCAATACCTAAACCATCTGGTTGTCTCAAAATAACTTCAAGATCACATGTAGAAACTAAAAATGTTCAACCTGACAAAATTTAATTTAAAAGATGTTATAAAATCTTTTAATGATTGAAAACAAACGTAAGAAATTATAAATTTAACGGAGTTCATAGTAACACTAAAACAAAAAATCAAGTTTGATAAACCGTTACATTTTTTTTATAACACAGGTGTGCCATTGTTTGTTCTAAAAACAAATATATAAAGTCTATGTTTGATAAAAAAAATCTTGCAGAGCAGAGTTACCATACTGTATAGAAGGTCGCATATTGAAGAAGCAGTTTAAATATTAAATTTATATGAGATAAACAGTAATAAAAAATACATTATTTACAGGGTTATTCATTCTTATATGCGCGTCTATTCATTTTTATATGCGCCTTTATTCATTCTTATATGCGCATTTATTCATTTTTATATGCGCCTTTATTCATTCTTATATGCGTTTTACAAAAGCAATTGTAAAAAAGCAAATTGAACAAAAAAAAAATCATTTAAGCAATTTGTTTTGAAAAAACAGTTTATTTTTTCAAAACAAATTTTTCTTATTTCCAGGTAAACGAGGTTAAAAATACTTAAAACGAAGACTTTTTACATTCGACGATGGTTTATTTAATTTAGTATTAGTTCTTTGTTTTCGGTAATAGTTTATTTAATTTAGTATTAGCTCTTTGTAATTTTATTATTAAATTTCTTGATTGATTAAGTTATTATTTATCTAATTATTCATTTATCTAGATTTAAATTTAATTATTTATAATTATTATTAATATCAATACTTAATAGCTGTAATACGTAATAGCTATACCATGTAATATAATACTTAATAGCTATACCATGAGAGGCTAGTGTTTGCCTAATAGAAAGACTCCAGTGGAATTTACAATTGTCCATAACAAGCACCGACGCTTCAACCTTTGCATTCCTAATCGCTGGTGCCATCATTGTAGTTATGAAAGTAGAAAATGAATCTGCATTCCAGCCTCCAGTTTTTATTTCATAAGCAAGCACTCCCATTGTTGAAACAGCACAAATTAAACTAACATTCTTACTACGATTTGCAGGTGACTGTAAAATTGCTGGCGTACCTCTTAGCAAACAACCATATGTGCTTTTACTGTGCACATTAAATCCATTTTCATCCAAATAAATAAGTTTTTCACCTGAAGTTCCGTTTATTTTGCTTGCAAATGCATAGCGTGCATTAATAACTGGTGTTGAGTTTCGTACTTCGGCACATGCACAACACGTTTTCTTGATAAATCTGAGCGTTTGAGTTTTCTTGAAATAGTAGACTGAGACATGTTGAAGCCTGCTGCAGAATGATATTTTTTTATTGCTTCTTGCGTGCAAAGATTGTTTTCTTGTACGCATAATTCAATAATATTTTTTATTTGAGAGTTTATAGGTCGTTTACCTCGTTTTTTATCAGAAAACGACTTGAATGCAGTCATGTCGTCGAATTATCGTCTGTTTAACTTAACGACAAAATTTTGCGCGCTTCGATAAATTAAGAGAAGTGGAAATGCTTGTTGTAGATTGATTTTTTTCAATTAAATGCTTAAGCATTTCAATGTGCTCTTTTGTAACATTTTTACTTGTTTTACGATTGGTACTGCTATTTTCTATTCCATCCATAGGGATGTATAATTTGATATTAATAGTAATTATAAATAAGTAAATTTAAATCTAGATAAATAAATAATTAGATAAATAATAACTTAATCAATCAAGAAATTTAATAATAAAATTACAAAGAACTAATACTAAATTAAATAAACCATCGTCGAATGTAAAAAGTCTTCGTTTTAAGTATTTTTAACCTCGTTTACCTGGAAATAAGAAAAATTTGTTTTGAAAAAATAAACTGTTTTCAAATTGCTTTTTTACTATTGCTTTTGTAAAACGCATGTAAGAATGAATAAATGCGCATATAAAAATGAATAGAGGCGCATATAAAAATGAATAAATGAGCATATAAGAATGAATAAAGGCGCATATAAAAATGAATAGACGCGCGTATAAGAATGAATAACCCTGTAACAGCATTTTTCTTAAATAGGCAATAAACTTTTTACAGATATTTTGTGAACTTTGTGATATAACAGGCTAAATCAAACTTTTTTCAAGAAATTTGAAACAAATGTTGTACCTTGGCGAACAAAAGATAATCTAAGGGAAAGGTGCCTATGAAGGCATACTTAACTTTGAAGTTTCATTATTTAGTTTCCTTAAGACCAATAACAAAAGTTTTGATATGAATAGATTCTTTGTTACACGTAGAACAATATTAATCCTAGAAAT